TGCAGCATTAATCTAGGACAGAGGAGTGGAAGTGACTACTTGGTACTGTTTCTAAGCTCTAGGGATATAGTAGTGCCCCCAGTAGACCAGAATCTCCATGCTTATGGAGTTTATATTCTACTGGGGGGCAGATAGGAGATGTGAAAATTGTAAATTAACATAGGTAAAAGTGCTAGAATGGGCTTGGTACATAGGAAATATTCATGTCCTTCTCCCATCCCTGTCCTCAACCACATCTTTAAAGCTTCCCCGAAGGCTTCTGAACACATAAATAAAGCTGGAACCCCATCTGGCTGAAAAAGTCAACCATCTGGAGATTTGGAAATATGGGGGAACTTCTAATGACTGGCTAATTTTTCTTCTCCAGTTTTTCAGCCAGATGTTTGATACCATCCAGGCCCATCTGTAGCAGAAACATCAGTTTATTGAACCTCTTTTTCATAATTTTAAGTTCCCTATCCTAAAATCCGAAGTGGGTTTTTTTCTTAGTAGAAACTTTTTAATGAGTTGAAAAAGTGACAGTTCATTTAATGAAGGACAACTTCATTAAGGAAAATATCAGAAATTAGGATTTAAAGGGCCCTTTAGATCATTTTCAGGGCTCAAATGTACCCCAAAGGTCAAATTCAGCCATAAAGTAAGTTTGGTTTGGCTGGCACTGTGTGTTTAAAAGTTAAGCCAAAAAAAAAAAAAGTTAAGCCAGTTGCCCACATTTTAAAAGTCAGATGATTCAACATCTGGCTTTTTAAAATTTGGAGTATTGGGCCAAGTTTGGTATCCATTTCCCCAGAGTAAAAATCAACTCAAGCCACATAGCAATTGTTTCCAGTTTGCCGCAGTCCCCACCACTCTCTGTTGCCCCCACACTGAGACAAGTTTCAGTTACTGTATATCTTCTCATGGGCTTCCCAGGTGTCACTAGTGGTAAAGAACCCGACCCTCAATGCAGGAGATGTAAGAGACATGGGTTCGATCCCTGGGTCGGGAAGATGCCCTGGAGAAGGAAATGGCAACCCACTCCGGTATTCTCGCCTGGAGAGTTCCATGGACATCTTGTATGCACTGTTACTCCCCTTCTCACCACAATATAACTGAGTTAAGAGGACTGTGAAATACTTGCTTCACACTTTATATTATTTGCCTAGTCCAAGGGGATGTTTGGATTTGTTTCTTCCTAATCTTACCTGAAGCTCTCTCTTTAGAACTGGGTAAACTAAGGTCCAAGGGAGGAAATAACATACACAATTCACATATTCAACTGCTGTGTGTACTAACATGCACAACTGCTAGGGATAGGACTGTGATTAGCACCCGGTAGCATCCTTCCTACTAGGCCAGTGATCTTTCTGTTATCTAAATGCATCCCTTTGATGATCTCTACAACTTCAAGAGGTTTCTTAATGAGAGAATCACATATTGAACATGTTCTCATTCAAATTCACATGCCGCCATTGAAAGCACACAGCAGGTTGGGGTACTGCCTTGTGAATGCCTAGAGTGCTTTCCAGGTGATGAGTCAGGCATTTGTTCTGGCTTCTCAGTGTGGGTGTCTCTACATAGGTCGATTGGTTTTCCATTCAGGGTCCTTTACTGCCTCGGAGATTTTGCCTCTCGTGGCTCCCACACCCCTGCAGATGCTGTGCCGGCATGGTGGGATCTGGGGCTTCTGAATGTAAAAACCTATGTGTTTGGGCTCTCTCACAGGTTAATATTTGTACCAGTAGCAACATATCCACTGCTGGAGCATGAATTAATGTTCTCTAGGAAGTGCTAGGTGGAGCAAGATGGCTTAGGCAAAGCAGTGTCTGCTGAGTTTAGGCATGAGACCTTGGGCAAGTTCTATAACTTCTTCTGGCCTCAGTTTTCTCATCTGTAAAATGAGGTTCATACTTATACCCACAACACTGACAGCCTTTGAAGATGAAGGAGTTAATTTTTCAAAGTTCTTAACACAATCCTAGCACATAATAAGTGCTAAATATATATGATGTTCTGCTGAGTTACAGAAAGGAAAACTGGAAACATCTCTTCTCTCACTTGAGAGATGTGATCCTTCCTAACACACATAGTTATTTCCAGACCCATTGTAAATACTCAATGTGGCTTGGCATTAATATCATATGTTGCTTGGAAGACTTTTAGAAAATTAAGATTCCAAGTGACCTACTGGAGACCCATGGAAGCCAAGAACCTAGTTGTGGGGGCCTTATTATCTACTTAAAATCTTCCCATGTGAATCTGATGACTAGTTAAATCTGGAAACAATTAATGTAGTTTTCTTATACTTGACTATTTTTGGTGGTAGACAGCTCATAACCTCTGAAAGCTTCTTATGCCATATTGGAGAGTTACTTACCCTGAGGTAAAACCTGTTTTCCTCTAGCTCCTACTTCTATCCTCTTGAGGCCACATAGAACATTTTGAGTCTCTTTTCCATATGACAGCCCTTCAGATATTTGCAGACAGCTGTCATGTCCCTCTGGAACATTCTCTCCTTCATGTACAAAATAGTCACATTCTCTCACAACTCTTAAAAAAGTATGGATGCCCTCTCCCACCCAGTTATCCTTTGACACTTAAAGGGCCAGAAAAATGAAGATGCTGAGGCTTTGGAAGACAGGAGATATGGAACAGGAGACTCTGTACACCTTCATTCCAGCAGAAGATGGATGCTGCCTACTGCATGTGGCTTCTCATGCAGAAAGCAGATGCTCCTGCAAATTCCCTGAACACTTGATATGTTCATTGCATGAAGGAAAATCTTAGCTTCAGATTTCAGCCAAGCCTATTTTGGTATTGATTATATGGGTGAATACATAGCTAAAATTTCATTGTGATTCATTAAAGTTGGTGCAGCTCACTGTATTAATACTTCAAAAAGATAAAAAAAAAAAAATACCTGGGTCACATTGCATGGAGACTGCAAGAAAATTTTCTCAGAAGAATCCACCTGACCAAGAACATATCTTAAAATAATCCAATTTCTTCTTGATTCAAATCCTCACTTCTCCCACTAAGCCCACAGAATGCCTGGGTGGGGTTCCAATTCCTTGTACAAACTGTGGGTGTAGGACATGATGTTGGAGAAAAGAGAAACCATCAGTTGAGAAAATTTGAGCAAGGATTCAGGAATTTTAGGACCTAATGAGGGAGGCCAAAATTGGTGTTTAATTGTGTATTCCCAGATTTACAATAAAGAGGCAGAAAATTTGGAAATAACTGAAATATGGTCTACCTATATGCCATTTTTGGCTTGGAAGCCGCCTCAGATTTTTTTTTTTTATGTCATCCTTAGAATCACATAGGCACCAAAACATTCACCAAATTGCAGCTTTATAAAGATGACTCAATTCCTTATTGTTAACACAGGAAAGAGAATTATGGCATTTTCCTGAGGTAAATGACTTCACCATATCTGACCACAAATACACAGATATCAGATTTTTGTCAATGTTTAAGAAAGAGTTTCCATCAGTACATTGAATATAATAAGACTTTTGGATAGTGCTAATTCCTGAACACCTACCCCAAATTAATCATCTACCAGATTAATATGCTCAGGTTTGGATAGGTAAATGTCTTGGCCAAGGTCACATAGTTTGCAGCATTACCAAGGTCTTCAGACAGCAAGTGCAGTAATCCTGTTGCATTTAAATCATCCTTTCCTACCTGGGCTTCCCACCAGTTGCAAATTTGCGGTGGAAACAGAATCAACTCTAGTAGTGCTACAGTCAGGAGAGCAGTTGTTCAGAGTGTCAGATCATGGGAGGAAGGCCAGGGAATGATGCAATATTACACTAGCAAGTGATGTCATAACATGATTTCCTAAGCAATTTACGTAAATGCAACTTCTCAAGAAGCCCTGACAAATGCCATCCAGTGGGAATGCAGGCATGGAGAACCAATGGCAGGCAGGAGAGGAAAGCACATAGGAAACACAGATTTCCTTGCTCATCACTATGACAAGCTTCACAGATTCCTCAGAAGCCTGAGAAAACTCCTTTCTGCCCCTCTAATCCAGTTCCCTCCCTCAGGCACACAGTCTCTAAAGAGCTTTGATTTTCTTCTCTATTTTTTGATTTACTCCTACTGACATCCAGGCATTGCCCAATGATGCTGAGAGTGACTTCTAGTGTTCTGAAGGCAAGTTTAATAGCGAGACAAGCTTGACATTCTAAGACTGGTTTGTCCTCTTCATTGTAATTCAGAATGAAGCCTCAATTTTTTGAATGAGATGTGGTATGCTGTGATTCTTGAGAATCGGTCTTATGCAAATGTCATAGAAATATATATGTTGGCTTTGCAAATGCTTTAGAAAAGACAGGTGGACACTAAATACCAAGACTTCAGTTTTGTTTTGATTCCAAATGGAGAAATATGTATTAATGTTTTCATAAAATGTGTGTGTGTGTGTGTGTGTGTGTGTGTGTGTAGAGGTTCATATAGGTTAGTCTGGAACTGACTGGCAATGGAAGTTCATGAAAATATCTAGTTAGACCAAACTCAGAAGCAACTGATAAGACTATGTTGAGAAATCAGGAAATAGCTCAGAGTCTGCCAGGCTAGGTCATAACCAATCTCTCGCTCTCCCACTCCTGCTTTCCCTTCCTTCCCTTCCTCTCCTGTCACCTCTTCTCCACTGAAATGCAATTTAAGCAGAGCCAGAGACCCCATCTCAAGCCAGAGATCAAAGCAAAGTAGTTCACAATATGCCTGGGGATCTTAGATTTGAAGACTTTTCTCAACTGCAGAAGCTGCCTGGAGAGCCACAAAATCTCATCTCATGAAGCTCATACCAAAAACAACCAACAAGACCCAACCCTCTCATCCCACACTGCATTAGTCTTGCTTGGAACAGTCTGGACATCTGCAAATTCTCGGCAACAATTTGAACTATCCTCTTTCCCCATCACTGCCTCTGTCTCCCCCAACCACACACTGGAATAGCAAAAAATCAGAAACTGGATTGTTTGGGGCCGTTGAGAGGAATTAGTAAATACCTTCTAGGCAGCAGGTCCTCCACAGCCCGGAATGGGTCATTACTTCTTCATTCTTCCTGCTGGTTTCATTATCACTTGTAGATTTAGTCCTGCACACACCTCTGGAATATAACCAGTAGTCCGTGCCCACTGCAATGGTCATTAAACTAAAAGCTGCAAAGGCTCCCACAGTAGTGATCAACATCTGGACTCCTCTGTCACACATCCTCATAATTCTTCATGGTACTCTGGATGGCTGGGGGTTGGAGAGGGAGATTCAATGCCAGAGGGGAAAAATCACTCTGCAGCTGGGTAACCTAGGACAGGCTTTTCCAAAAATTCAGGTCTCCTTTTGTCGGCATCCACAGGGACTTTGGGAAAGCTGGGTTTTCCTGTCTGGAGCTCTCTCCAGTTCCCTGGGTCGCCTATGGCCCTCGGAAGGGTGAAGGCTCCAGGGGGTTGGTCCACATCACTGCTGCCTTCTGAGGGTCCCTGGTTTCCTTTCATTCCTCGGGAGCTTGGTAAGGATGAGGGTCCGTGCAGGGCATGGCTCTGGAGCCTGGAGCTGCCAGCTCGGTCTGAGATGCGCCTGGCTCCTCACAGCCCCAGGAGACTCAAGGCAAAGAAATCCAGAGAGGACTATGTGTGTGTGTGTGTGTGTGTGTGTGTGCGTGCGTGCGTGTGTGTGCGAGCGCGTGTGCTGGGGGTGAGGGCGGATGGCAAAAAATAGCACTGCTGGGAGGCGAGTCGCTGAGAAGAGTGTTCATTGCTTCCCCAGCCTCCCAGGAAAGCTCACCGCCTGCTCCCGACACCCCCGCTCAAACTGGAGAAAAGACAGTCCTGGGGCGGGGGCCGAGAGGTTTCGTCGGAGGGCAGAGGTCCGCGGTGCTGAAGGGACAGCTCCTGCCTGTTGCCCCGCCCCCGCCTTCCTAACGACCAGCTTTAGGTCCGTGGTGCTGAAGGGACAGCTCCTCCGCTGCGGCTGCACCCGCGCCTTCCTAACGCCCGGGCGAGAGACCCGGGATACTGACGGGTGGGTCTTCCTCCCGCCCCTCCCAGGCCAGCCCACCTGCTCTTCTCAACCTAGTCAACCCACGCTCCGCGCAAAGTTTCGGGAGCCCAGGGCAGTCAGCGCCCCGGCTCCTCAGGCGCGCTGCAGCACGACCCGGTTCCCCCGCTCCCCGCTCCCGGAAGGGTTAAGGAAAGGGGAAGGGGAAAGGAGCCTGCAGCGCACTCTGGCGCTCTCTCAGCTCCCACCCAACGCGGCATTTCCCCCACCACCAATGAGCCAGGCAAGTTTGCCTTTTGCTGCGGGCGCCGCTGGAGCCCATTGGGGAAGACCGAGTCTTCTTAAAGGGACCGGCGACTCGGGGCAACGGTTCTATGGGCGGGCAAAAAGTGTTGTCACAGGAACATCTGTGTATAGTCTGACTCAATTTGGTTCCCCAGAAAACAAACCAATATGTCTACCCTCCTTTCTCTGGAGCTCTGGTTTACAACGGAGACAACGTGCTCAGATCAGACCCGGAACTGTTCATATACATATGATCATGTATTCCTAAAAGACAGAAGGAGCCAGAAGTATGTAGACTCTATTATACACGTATTAGGGATTTCGGCCCAGGGAGTGTGAGATATTGATCTCTGAACACACATATATTTTCACAACTGTACATTTTGAGGGTGGTGGTGGTGATGGAGTCAAGGTGGGAGAGTCTCTGAAAATGTCAGATTCTCTTCAAAGGTCCCTTGGATGATCATTTGTTAACGTTCTTGTCTAAGTTAGACAGGAAGCACGGGAAGTTAGGTCTGCTTTCCTTGCTAGTCCCAAGTGCAAATGTTGGTGCACACCAGAAAGCTAGTGAGACTCTTCCTTGGAAATAGTCATTGTTGCAAGTGTTAGTTGCTCAGTCGTGTCCAACTCTTTGCTATCCCATGCACCCAGCCTGGCAGGCTCCTCTGTCCATGGAATTCTCCAGACAAGAATACTGGAGTAGGTAGTTATTCACTTCTTCTGGGGAATCTTCCCAAGCCAGGGATCAAACCTGGGTCTCCCACATTGCAGGCAGATTCTTTACCATCTGAACCACCAAGGATCAGCATTTAATTCATCTAGCTCTTTATCACCATGTGTCCTGGCATATACTTGAGCATGCCAAGTAGACTGAGTCCACAGAATGCCCTCATTATTTCTGTCCTGTGGCACAATGGGACAGATACCCAGAGGTCGGGTGTTCGCAATAGAGGCTGCTTGGGTTGTTTCTGCAGTCCCTGAGATGTTTCATAACCAGCTGTCATATTTGAATGCTATTTAACTGGACAAAAAGATAATGGTAGGTAATCGCAGGCACGTACAGTCCCCTGGTGACATATCTGGCTCTCTGTCTGAGAGCTTCTAACCAGAAGACTGAATAGCAACAATTCACAGAAGAGTTCTCAAATGCAGCTCACGACTTCTTGGTGACTCTGCTACTTTGCTTGTATGCTTTTGCTCTTAAATTCACTTAAACATTCCGTTCTTGGTGTTAGATATACCTGCATGTGCATGCGTAGATTTGAATGCATAGTAGTCATCGTGTGATTGTATTTAGATGTTTACTTGTGCTGTGTCCAATTTAGTTGCGAGTTCTGAGTGCCTGGGAATTTGTTATAGAAGTAAAGCAGGTATGTATACATGTATATGTATGTATATATGTGTATGACGGTACCTGTTTACAGTGTTATAAGCCTATTTGTTGCAAATGCATAGCTGTATGCATTTGTGGGTGTACATGCCTAAGTATAGGTGTAGTGTAGGTTTATGCACCTACATAGACTTACTTGCATATGCATGTGTCGTGGATCACAAACACTGATTTGTAGGCAGGAAGTAGAAATACTGAAAGCTTGCCACATAACCAAAATGGAACAGATAAACTTGGGGCCAAGACCACACTAGTCATATCCCAGAAGAAAGATAGGAGGTAATGGGGGAAAATGCACCAAGCCTTCTATAAGTTGTTTATTGTTTTTTCTTTCCTGAAATGAAATTTGCTTCTCAATAAAGCTTCCTTTTTTGTTTTTTTAAAGGAAAAAGCCCTATGTAAGATGGAGGTGAAGCTGGTCTTCCCTGAAAAGGGTTGCTAGATTAGTGAAATTTCCCTTCCCCATCTCAAAAACTTAAATAATATGAAATAATTAATAATGACCAAAGCAACTACTCCAGGATCTGTTTTCGCCCTTCCTCTGATAGGAGTGAGAAGGGTCTTTTCCCAAAGCAGGATCACATGATTGGAAGGTCAATGGGCTTTGGGAGAGTGTGCTCCAATCAATCCATTCACCAAACTCACAGTAAAACAACAGCAGCCCACTCTCTGCCTCCGTGGTCTGTAATATAAGCCCAGACACACAAGGTGTGGTTCCCAGAAGGTCCAGGAGAATGGAATCAAACATCCAGGCAAACTGTGTGGGGTTGGGGAGAAGGGTCAGGAGCTCAGGCAGAGGAAAGTGATGATCACGGCTTAGGATGTGGACAATTCTAAAGGAGAGAAGGATCAATATAACAAGAGTGAAAATGCATACTGAGCTTTTGGCTTGGTGAGGCAGGGTTCTCCCCTGCCTCTCCCCTCCCCTGTTCTCCCCTACCCAGGTCCAAAACTGATCACAGACTAGTTCAAAGTTGATCACAGAGTATGGGAAGAACTGAACTGCGTTTGGAGAATCAGAACACCTGAGTGGAGTGGGAGTGCAGAGGCAGGAAGGCCGTCAGTTAGTTCCTGATGAAGCCTCCCCACTTACTAGGGGGTGACCTCATCCTTTCATTCAACTGAATGTGTAGGTGTGTGTACATGGGTGCGTAGCATCAGCTTCTAAGCATAGATGTAATTGCTCGTTTCTTACCACTAGAGGGCTCTTTCACCAGATCCATCAGGGACCTGAGATTCAAAGCACTCTTTTTATAACAGTGATGGAGCCAGGCTCTTTCTGTGTTTGCTGATGACCTTCTTTAATCCAACTAATGTGGCAGGACACCTGGAAGCACTCAGACAGCTTGCAACTGATGTTTGAGACTCTTATTAAGGCTTCTTTTTACCAGCTTCCTTTGGATTCTTAGGGGTTTCCGTGATGGCTCAGATGGTAAAGAATCTGCCTGCAATGCAGGAGACCTGGAATCGATCCCTGAGTTGGAAAGATCCCCTGGAGAAGGGAATGGTTACCCATTCCAGTATTCTTGCCTGGAGAATTCCATGGACAGAGGAGTCTGGTGATTGGATTCTTAGCTAGTTGAGTAGCTGGCAAGGTACATTTGTACTTTTTTCTGTTCTTCCTCTACTAGGTCAGAATTACCCTCACCTCAGGAGGGGTCAGGGCCCCTGAAAGTGGTTATGTCATTTAGGAATGAGTACCAGCAACTGATTCAATTCAATTAATGCTTTGTGAGTGCCTACTATGTACAAAGCATTCTGCTTAGCAGTTTGAAGAATACACAAATATGGTTCCTACCTGCCCCTCAAGAAGCCCATTATATAGTAGGGGATATTTTGCTAGTACATTTTGGCCATAAATAGAAGAAACTCATTGGAGTTAGGTTAAGGGATTGGAGTTTTGATATAAGGATATGATGCTGCTTCAAGAAACCTTTAAGCAAAGACATTATCGGGCCTCAGCAAGGAGATAAAACCAGGGAATAAAAGCCATCAGGAGTCTTGACAGTCACTCTATTTTTCATCTCTGCCTCTTTCCATATTTTTAGTTGGAAAAAGATTATTTTGCCTTCTCTCCTTGTTAATCCTCAAGAGGGAAGCTAGATGTTGAGGTTATGTCTCCTCTAGCCAAGAGATCCACCCAGACTCAAAAGGGCAGTTTTAGTCTCAATTAAAAACTTCCAGGGGAGATAAACTGATTGTGTCATGTGCCACTTTCCAGCCCAACCTGCTGTGATCATGGAGACAGGGTCGTGGTAGTATGAACATAGCTACTGGGACCAGCTCCTATGAATTGAGGGAGAGAGGACAGTTCTCAGAGTAGGAGGAACTTTCCAGACAGCTCAGAAGACTGCTATGAAAAGTCCACGTGATTCACTTCTGGAGCTACTCTGATGATGCCCAGGGGTTCAGCAGTAAAACATGATCATGAATGAGAAGATAACATGTTAGGATATAAGGCTCTGAAGATATTGGAGCCTCTGCCAGAGGTAGAACTGAGCTGAGTGTACCCCCCCGCCCCCGCTTCACCTTTGTCTATGCCCTTCGT